TAAAAAGGGATTGATTCACAAAAGAAAAAAGTTTTAAATTCATTCACTTACATAATTTATCATGTGATACTTAATAAGTCAATCATAATTGAGAATTCAGGACTAATTATTTTAAAAATAGTGAAAAGTTTGATTTTATTGAAATTTTATTTATTGATATTTAAATCAAGCTCATTATAAATACTATCAGGAATTCTCCTATATCATTTATACTTATTCACTGCAAATTCTGCCATTTTACCTGTAATTTCCTTTCTATATATATATATCCATATAACGCTAAGATTTTTGTGCGTAATGACGAATTGTAATTAAAGGAACTAAATCTAAGGCTTTGGGAACAATTTTTTTGCAAACTTGACTAAGTATATTCATAATACTCTCTAGTATATTGCTTAGCTGCACCCTAATACATTTCTATGTAATTTAATTTACATTGATATTTTGGGTAAAAGATATATTTATACCCTTTTTTTCTATTTCAGTCTGTAATTTTAATTTCTGTGTAATAAAATTGGGCTGTAATAACAAAATTCAACATATGCAACAGTTTACTCTTTGAGCGTCTATTATTTTTTCCTTTCCTTTACATAATTTACAATCTCCAACTAAACCATCTTTCCAAAAATCTCTTTCTATAAGAATCTGTTGTATACCTTTAGCTTTATTTGGATATTATGGATGATCTGATGAAAAAACCATTGACTGTGCTGTTTTATCTATTCCAAAATATGTTAAATGCATTAACATTTGCTTTCCTCCAGGATTGACATTCATTCTTGCAGCATTTAAACCATCTTCTGGCATTGCACCATGATTAGTGCTATTGTCAAATGCCATTACAGCAATTGCACTTGGATAAATAGCTTCAAAAATAGGAATAGCATAATTAATAACTTGATCAATTAAATGATCTGCTGTCCACCAGCCCTCTTCATTTTTTCCAGGTTTTAAATATTTGCGTGCTTCAACAGGAATATTTGGATTTAATAATGATTCTTCAGAAGTCAATTTAACTGACCAATTGTTTCAAGCAAAAATTCACTAACCATTATTGTTTTACCTTGGCCTTTTTTTCGAAGTGGAGGTTCTCCAATTGGTGCCCATACAATTGACAAATATATGTAATTAGGAATTTCTGGATTAATTTGTATCATTCCGTCTTCAACAAATGTTGGCATAAAATATTCATTTAATAATATCAAATTAATCAGTGTTGCCTCAACGTCGGCGCTCTACACTTTCGCCATACAATATATTAAACTAAGTAAATGCCAATCAATTAAGTATTACTGCGCAATTACGAATAATTACAAAAAAAATTGAATAAAATCGGAAATTACGTAAATCTAAAAGTTAAAACGACTAAAGTGAAAATATCGCGAAAAGATTAAAGGTATGCAAATTATAAGAAGGGCAGGCGTGGATATTAAGTTGTTTAAGAATTTCCAGCTTGTATTTATAAAAAAAATAATTATTATTAAAAATAATAAAAATAACAAATAGTGGTAATTTGATCAGAAAATTTTTTGTTTTAATTAGATACAATAATTTTTTGGTTTTTTTCAAATTTTCTATAAAAATTATTAACACATATTTTTTCAGTTGCACTCTGTATAAGAATTTTTTTTTTCTTCATTAATTTATTATATTTACTTGTTGATAGAAAACAAAAAGCAAATCAATCATGTTTTACCAAATCCGCTAGGATATTTACTTCGCCTCTGTTTTTATTGCGGCAACGATTGGTTGGTTTTTGGTTCTTAAAAATATTTTTTTTTTTATTTTTTATTACTGCCGCGCCAAATATTGGTGCGAATGCCGATCAAGTATAAGAAAAAAATTTTTTTTTTATAGTCACTTTTTATGCCTTGTTTTTTCTTCAACTATTCAAGTAAATTGTTTATCACTCAAAACTTTTTTTCAAAATTTCCGGATTCTTTGAGTTTCGAATTTTAGATGTTTATTTACAAATAAAAATTCATTTTTGTTTTTCAACTTTATAAAGGTCTGGTCACTTAAAATATTTCGTATTATTAGCAAAACTATTTATAAGAAAATAAGAAAAAAAGTGGCAATAAAATTATTTATAATTTTTTTCAACTTTTGATTCTATTAAAGTTTTATCTAAACATTATTAAACTAAGATAAATTTATATACACGAAACATCTTTCAAATGCAATTATATTTGGAAATTATATTTAGTAAGATTTTTTTTTTTTTAAAAAAATAAATTAAGGATACATATATTCTTTGAATTATACATTTAATTACGATTCAAACTTGTAGAAAAAATTAGTTATCAATTGCGAATAATTTGAAAATATTAAAATAAATTGACATCACGAAAAAAATTGATTATATAATTTGGTAACATAAATTAAAAACTATATCTGGTCCTAGTAATATTTACTATTAAAGATTTTCCGATAGTTTAAATTTCTTTATAATGATATTCGATTTATTTTTATACTTTAATAACTTTAGATTATTCCCAATATTTTCGCTCAAAAACATTCTAAATTATTGTCTCTTTCATGTAACAGCTCGTTTTTTCCAAAAAAAATTATCATTTACACTTCAAGAAATAATAAATAAATCGTGCAGAGCTCTATAAATAAATACTTTTTCTTTGTTGTTTTTCAAGAAAGCGAGATGTCACAGTTATAAAATATTCATTTAATTTGTCCGAATGATAACTTAAACCGAAGTTATTAAACTTTAAAGATTTAGGATTTTTTATTAGGAAAATCGTAATAAAAATCAGCAAATAATTAGGTTCGGCATGTAAGTTTTACAAAATCTCCAAAAGTAAATTTTACTATAGTTTTGATTTTAATTAGTTGACCGCGTTACACGGCTTATAAAGTATCTCGCCACTCAATTAAAATATTGAAGTTAACCTAGCTCCAGCTGGAATTGGACACTGACTTCCTATATACTTTGTAACAGGATCACAACCATCACAATCGAAGAAATATAGTAACGAGATTGATATACTGTTTGATTCTATATCAATTATTTAACTCTCCGGTAACGATAAAACACGTGTTATAAACATTTTATCGAGTACCGGAACATTAGGATAATCAGGACAAGCTACAAATCAACATCTTTATTAATTGATGAGAATAGCAATGGAATGAGTACCAAGCAAAAGCTTTTTGCGGAGGACAATCAAATACTAGGCAATGTCGCATATTGATCACCAAATAGAATTCTGCGTTGCTGATGTCATGTCACGCATGTTTCACAAAATTGAACACTAAAAAAATCGCACATATATACAGTATATCCAATTCATTTCAGCCAAATAACGCATAGCATTGCCTTGCATTATTTTGGTTCGAATATAAAATCACCTACCCACAAAAAATACGACATTTACAACTATAATCACTTCACTTCTGTTTATTTCAAGTTGTTAAAACTTTCATCAAAAAACTAGACAACTAATATTTGACTCCACACTTTTATCAAATAAAAATGTATTTATATTTAACAAAATAAAAACATATCAATTTGGACCTCTCCAAAAGTAAAGCGTGCTTTTAACAGCTTATTAAGATAAATAGTGAAGATAGAATTTTTAAGCTTCTAACGAAAAAAAAATTCGATTTCTCAGCTATTTATTCAAGATGATCCCTTCTAAATTAAAAATGGTTTTTTTTTTTCCACAATGCACCAATTGATTGATCAATTTGAAACATTAGTTGCGCCTCAATGATTGTGATATTATTCGTGATTTCGACATTCAAAACTTTATGATACAATCTAAAATTGGTTTGGGTGCATTTGCTTCAGTTTATGCTGCATGCTTGAAAGATACTCAAACAAAATTTGCAGTTAAAAAATTCGCCGACGATTATTCCGAGGAAATCATCTTAAATGAGGTTTGTTTTTTACTTGTGTTGCTTTGTATAATGTTTTGATATGTTATTTAGATTAATTATGTTCCTAGATTCGTTTAATGAAAATTGTGGATTATCATCCAAATATAATCGGATTTTGTGGAGTCAAAAAATTTATTCGCTTATTCTTGAATATGCAAATGGTGGAACCTTAGGAAAATATTTACGAGACAATGTTAAAACTTTCAAGTGTAAATGGGAAAGTCAATTGAAATTTGCACATGATATTGCAAGTGCTGTATCATGCTTACATGATAATAAAATTATACATCGAGACCTTGTAGGTTTAATTATTTATATTATTACTTAATTTTATTATTTTATTATTATATATTTAATACTTTTTTTTTTTTTAGCATCCCGGTAATATCTTAATTCATCATGGGGAAATTAAATTAGCGGATTTTGGATGTTCGCGCCTGCAAGGATCAAATTTCTATGCCAAAGAATCACATGGTGTAATCCCTTATATGGATCCTAAATTTTTTGAAAATCATTCGTATGATCTCACCGAAAAATCTGATATATATAGCTTTGGAGTATTATGCTGGGAATTAACAAGTTGTTCATCACCTTTCGATTTCGAAACAATTGGCGATACTTCTATTCAGGTTAAAATTCTTGAAGGTGAAAGAGTAAAGCCTATTTCGACCACAAATGGTAAATTCGTTAATCTTTATCAAAGTAAGTTTTAATTTCTCTATTTGTTAAATATTTAATCTTTTATTACATACAAGCTAATATTAATTATTAATAGGATGTTGGAAACATGAACCAGATGAGAGACCAGATATTTATCAAGTAATTTCGGAACTTAATAGTGTAACCGATTCTAATTCTGAAGAAAGTGTAAGAACTGAAGAAACAGAAAATGATGAGAGGGAAGATCACTTCTTCGATTGTGATATAGCTAGATACTGTATGAATTCAAATGTATAGAATTAATTAATTCTATATATATATATATATTTTTTTGCTTTGTTAATTTTGTATAGAGTATGTTTCAACATTTACAAAGATAAAGAAAAATAAATAAAAAAATAGATATTTATTTATTTACTTTCTTCATTGTTCATGAATCCAACGAAATCTCAAATTTAAGGTTTGATATTACCGCCAGTAAATTTTATTTTAAACTTTCGCTATCGTGAAATTAGGTTGACGCTATTAATAACTATATATTGTCAATTTAAAAAAAAAAAAAACTCGCAAAAGAAATAATTAGCTTGATGTATCTTTTAAAATATAATAATGAAATCGGTGTTTTGTGAAATAATAAACTTATCACTTCTGTCCACACTATAAAAATTCTTTAATTTTCTACATCTTTAATATTTCTTTAATATTTTTCACTTATTAAAATGAGACGTAGATCAGGCGATCACTTCTTTTTTCTTTCTTACTAAAGTTAGTTTTCGATTTTTTTAGGCTTTCGGACTGGATCCCATAAAAAATTTATCTTTTTAATAATTTTCATTTATTTATTTGTTGTTTTATTTTGTTTTCGTTGTTTTCTTTCGAATTGGCCGCGTAGGTAAGTTTTATCTAAATTATTATTTTTTTAGGCGAATCGGAATTTCCCTCGCGTAACATGTCATGAAATCACGTGACTCATATTTTATCATTTTTACCAAGTATTTCTGGGACAAAAATTTTCTTGTTGACAAATCTCCTATATAACATGCTATTATTTGTCACCAGTATTCACGGATAATTCTGACCGGAAACTTTTAATGCCCGGTCATTTCGTGAAGGTTATATTGGATTGCTGTGAACCGCAGCAATTAATTAGTTTTAAATTTCTCTTGCTAATTCGGCTTGATTAGTGCTCCGTAAGGGTCGGGTCGGGTCGGGTTTGAAACATATTCGAACTCGAACCCGTTAATAATTACAGAACCCG